GTGGAAAGTCACATGTGAAGCATGCGTGCATTTTATTCCTGCTGATAGATGCAGAAGATTTGCTGAAGAAACCTGTATTTAGGTTCAAAGTTAATGAGTACAATGGCCTATAGTTAAAAATCATATTTCTTAGAATAAGATAGTAACTTTGCATACCTGGTTAGCAAAGAGAGGATATAAACAGATCCAGATCAGCATGTGACCAGAATAGATCTGAGTTGATATTTTTATGTGAAAGACAAATCCTGGCAGGGAAAACACCCCATTCCAGCTATAGAAGAACCAATCACATGGACACTGCTGCAAATAATGTGGATTCTTATTCATTAGCTGTCATTTTGCTGTACCCCTGCAACAAACATCTAAATAGGAGCAGAGAAAAGAACTGCTGCAACAGACAAATGTTTTCATTACCACAGAACTTCTTTTTGGAAACGTGTGTGTTGGAACAGGTTCTTTGCATATTTTCACATAATTCCATACCTTTCCAATAAATCCACACTTACCTAAGTGGGACCTAAGTTATCTGAAATTTAATTTGAGTTTAATAGTAAGTTGTTTTGCAGCTGCTGTTAAAACTGCTGATCTTTCTGTGTTTTTAAACCCATCTTTAATAATGTTTTGTCTTTTGCTTGGTGACATGAAGGATCTGTACAGATGGGATATTGAGTGTAGTTAAATTCACAAAAATGTAAGACAAATTGAAGAAATAGGTAAAATATAAGAACTGCTAGAAGTTTTCCAGACAGTAGTCTGCTCTTTAAATTGACGATCGCCCTTTCATGTTTATGTTATTTTTGTCCTGAGTTTAATTCACAATGCACCCTCTTCTATCCATTTGCAATATAAATTAAGAGTCAGAACAGAGCACATGAAGTTCTTCCTAAATGGTCTTTTTTTTGTATTTGTAGATACATAGATTTTAGAGTATTGTAGGACAAAATTAATAAAGAAACTGCTTTTAGAGGAAGCATCTCCTCAAGGATAATTACCTTTTGGCAAGCTGCAATTTAAATTATCTGTAGTATTCCTCTGTTCCTAAAACCCCAGTGAAATTTTACTTTGAAACATTTAACTTTTTCTGTTCAGTTTCAGGGATGATTTTAGTTTAGGCTAGAGTGAAGTAATCTCAATACATAGATCTGTAAATGTAATACAGATACATATACCCACATATACGTATGCTTAAGTCCCTAAGTGCATTTTCAGGATAAATGCTGCAGTGAAAAAAACATGAGGTGAACATCTCTCTTTGATATGTGTTTCTTTGAGGTGTGAGTAGAACGCTGAGTAACAGTCATTGGATTTCTGTATGGCACTTGTGCTTAAAAAAAGCCCTGTATTCAACATCAGTCCAGATCTCTTCTCGTCTTCTGTAAAAGTTGTCACTGAAAAATGCCTCACAGTCAGAACATCATCGCTAATGATAGTTTCCATTTTCAGCACGTATTAAAGAAAACCCTTTTGTTCCACATACAGCCCACACAATGACGCAGCATTCAATGATCCCGATGTTGAAAACTTAAGTGATTTTTCATTAGAAATTTTAAAATGTGTCCAGTTCTTCAGCTGGTTTAAATTAGCATTGCTCCACTAAAGCAAGTGAAGGTATAACAGTTATGGCACTATAAGATTTTAGCCTATGCTTTTCATTTTTTTAATAACTTGGAGTATAATACAGAGTAAGCCCTGCCATATTCCATACATGACATGAGTTGAGATGCTCCAGTTCTCTGCTGTTCAGGTATCTACATTAGCAAGCAGGTGCTCGTGTTGAATCTGTTTTGTGTATAAAAAACAACAGACTTGATTTTGGAATCTCATAGGCATCAGAAGCGTCAAAGTCATACAGTTATAAATAAATAAACAATGCTGTGTAATTAGCTATCTTTGTGAGATAAAAAAATGTAAGCACATGTAGGCATAATGCATTCCAGATTTTCATAGGATTTAGCAACAGTCTGTTTCAAATATCAGCAGAGAAAATCCTTTTCTGTTGACCCAACAAGAAAACAGTGTGAATTCTAAGATCAATTGCTTGCCAATATGTTCCAGCTATTTTAAAAGGTAAATATGCATATATTTATATTTTAAACTTTTAAATTCCTTTCTTCTGATGATCTTAAATAGATTTCCAAACTTTGATTAATAGGTAGCATACAGTATTTCTGGGATCTACAGGAATCAGACTCTTCCAGTTTAAAAATGAAATTGCATTGTGACAAAAGACGGCAACTATTGTAAAGTGCACAGGAGCACTTCAGAACAGCTTAAAATGGGAAATGAAAAATCCTAGTGGAGACTTCAGGTGAATTTATTAACTACAGTGTTACTGCCAGGAATATGATCAGAATAAATATTGAAAGATTTCATATTCCACAGCAGTGCCTGTTAGTGTCATCCTGAGGCATTGTTTTAGTACTGCATCTGAGAGGAGAGAGACTCACACTCTGTATCAACATTGTGTCCTGGGAAGGAATAAAAAGACAGTTCCTCCTGGTAAATACTGAACACTGTAGGTTTGCCAAGTCCTCTGTGGCACTGGACTCTTAACATGGAAAGCAAATAAAACAGGAACTGTTTTGCAAGTAGATCCTCTCAGATTGCCTCAGCACTTTGGTATATTAGCAGAGTTCCAAAAGGGATGGAGGAGAATGCTTATTTATCTTGGCTGCATTAAATGTATTTGCACAATTAAAAAAAGAAATACGAACCGCATGTCCCTGACAGACTTAAAGCATGTTTATATCTCAACAGAGTTCAGAAAAACTCTAAAATAACCAAACTTAGCTAAAAAGCTACCCCTTTGGTGGTGCCAAGATCAGTTGTATTCTCTATCACTGTTTGCCAACATCTGCTGGAACAAGCTGAAGAGGTGAGGTGAATTTATACTTTACTGCTCAACTTTATTTCTGGATCCATGTCTTCTACTCCTCCCTCTCCTCCTTTTGCTCTGCACCTGTGTGTGTCCCTTCCCCAGCAGTCTTAAAACTGCTAATAACTGTTCAGATTCACTGTGCTCTGTCAGACTTTGATTTTAAGTTACTCCCTGGAGCATTTACTTTAATACAAACAAGAGCATACAAATAGAGCACTTTGTATTTCTTTCTCCTAATGGCACGCAAACTTGCCTGGCAGGGGTGATAGCTGTTGGCACTCAGACCATCTATGCTACTTCCTCCCTTTTGCTCTCCCATTTCCCTGCTGATCACATTTTATTGGGAATGATGCAGAGCAGGTAGAGTGGAATAGGTTCATTGGATTGAGCAGATGCTAAAGGAGAAAGTGGCAATAAAATACTTAGCCTCTGATGTCTGTGATGTCTGGATTACTTCAGGAGACCTCCTTACAATGGAAAAGATTTTATTATAATGATATCAAAGGAAAAAAAGTGGTGTGCTTCAGTGAGAAATACATTTTCTGCTCTTGATTTTCCGTCTGTTGAAGACTACCTCAGGTCAATTCTCACTGTTCAGCTCTTACAGAAACAATATTGTATTCCTTATGCCAATTGTTAGTTGTGGAGGAACCAGAACAGAAGAGGTCCTGTCTTTGGAGGTTCTTGTCACTTTGGCATATGCTTGTCATACAGAATTGATGCTGCAGCAAGAAATATTAGCTCAGCGTTCAGGAAGATTATAGTTCTGTCTGTAAGAGGCATTGGTCTCCAGTTTGTTTGTAGGGGTAACCTGTGGTGTTGATTTTTAATGAGCAGGGCTTTCATGATTCGAGCTGAACCTCCACTACAACCACTGAAATCACTTGGGACTCTGACATTCCTATGTTAGTTCTTAACTGTGGAATTTGCTGCCCTTGCTGCTCCAGTAGAATTCAAGACTGTTGACCTTCAGGGCTTTCTCTGAGGCCTATCTCTTCTCTTGGGCAAAAAGGGATTAGCTAGGAAGGGGGAGTTATTAGGAGCAGTGAGATTTTTTTTTTCCTTAACTTGACATTGTGTCATTCTTGGCACATAGTATCCAGTAAAATAATGGGTAAGGATTATATATTTTGTTCATGCAATTGCTGTACCAAAGCCTACATGTGATAGTTCAAAAGCTGAAGAATTTTGAAGTATCCATTGAATTTTACTTTAGTCACCATACTGTTGCATGAGGAGGCAGTGCTGTGGACATAGGCTATGGTTGAGCATTTGATACAGAAGAGAGACCACAGAGAATGATTTTCCTGTGCAAACTTTAATGAACATAAGGAGAAAGCAACACATAACTCAGTCATGTACAGCAGCCAACAGGGATTTTGCTTTTCACTGCATCTATATGGTTTTGAGTCCCTGCATCTTTAATCATTTACATCGCTGAAAAGCTTTTTAGAACTGCACATGCAGACGTTTTTCTATTGGAGCACCACCAAAAAGTCTGTGTAAGCACAATATGCAGGGAAACACATGTCTTGAAAATATTATCCTGTGGGGAAAAACAAAAAAAGCCGGTATACTGCAAAGGATTTCTGTCCTTTCCTGGAGTCATGACACTTTGTTTATATCAAGGCTACGCTGACTGATTTATTATTTATTTATTTATTTATTTAGAGAATGAGTAGAAAAAGATTGGCCTAGAAGCAGAATGGAAGATTGTAGGACTAATATGCTGTACAAAACACAAAGATAACATTTCTTTCTTTCCCATTCATACCTCCTCGGTTGTCTCCATGTGGTGCTTTACATTTAACAGTGAAACTCCGATTTTTATATAGTGGGTTTTTTTTTCCAATAAAGACAAAACGTTTTGACTCAAGAAGGTTGTATTATGCAGTGCCATGAGGTTTGTACTTCTCCCCCACCTTTCCTGTTAGCTGAAGCTGCTTTGTAATACATTAAATGATACAACACAAAAGATCTAATAGAATCCAAAATAGCTTGGGTTCTTAGAAACATGTAAAACTCCACATAAGATGAATATTGCTAAAGCTCTGTCCAATTTCCATATTCTTTCCACATTGTATTTGTGTATAATAGGCTTCCAGGAATGTTCATGACCTTACAGCTGTCCCTTTTGTTTACAGTCCAGTGCTCTGTCCTTGAGATATGTTGCACGCAGAATGAAGACAAAATCATGGCTTCAGGCCTCCGTCTCCCTCCTCTGGAAAAAATAAATAAAGCCTATATAGGAGACATTCTCCAGTCAGTACTGTTGCAAATACATATGAGTGATTAAAACCTGGGAATCAATTATAGGTGGTAATAAAAGAAATCAAGCTCAAAGGGAATATAGCTTTTATAGCTTTTTCTCAGGAACTTCCAGGAAAAATCCTGTTATTATTATTTTTTTTAATTATTAAACCCACTTATTTTTCTCACCTAAAAAAATTAAAATGGACAGATGCATTTTCTAGCAGTTTGGCTTGATGTTTTAGAAAATCCTTTTCTTTTTGAAGAGACTGTATCCTGCTCACACACAAGCATCCGGTTTCTTATTTGCTCTCAGAGTTAGCAAACAAGCAACACACATTTACAATACCACTTCACTAGCGTAATGGTGATGGTGGTGTTGGGTTTATTTTTGCTGGCATGCAAATTTTCATTCTCTTTGAGTAAATGTATTTTTCTGCTGATATTCTGCTTTCTGGCAGGTGCTCAAAACTTCCTTGTTCAAATGTATTTGCAGATGGCGCAGTCATGGGTTCTGTGTGGTGTCTGAGGAGACAGTGAACAGCCTGGGACAAAATTACAATCACTAATTATTTTAGAACGAAGGGCATATGTGAGATTTCAATATCAAACATCTCTATACCAGTCGTGCTGTGCACAAGCATTACCTAACGTAACTGTTTATGAAGTTTTGGGGCTGAATTTGGCTGAGTTTGTAAGTGAAGGTTATGACAGTGAGTATCCAGAACATCCATGCTTTGGCTAAGAGCTCCATATGTGGAGGCTGGCCCAGAGAAATACAAACAGTGCTGTGCAGGTAGCGGAGCTGTGCAGTATTATTGAGAAGTGCAATGGCTTCTTGATGTTAGATTAGTGTCCAAAACTATCATTTTCACTAAGATTTCTGCCTGCACTATAAAATTTATCCATTTTTTTTAAAAAATGGGATGGATGCGTGATGATTGTGTATTATGAAATAACTGTGTGACTCATAGTGTACAATTAATTTAGATTAGAGTTTAAATATTCTAGAAAATTCCCAAGTATTTATGAATGTTCAGATCCATACTTTTCTGTGGGGTCTGAACTTCAAGAGTGATTTGTAATTGCAGGAATGTAGAGCGGCTCAAGTTAACTTCAAGTCTGTTTCGAGACAGCAAGCAACTATTTCAAAGTGTTGTTCCATGTCTCAACAGTAGTTTTACGTGTACATATACAAGCAGCACTACTGGTGAGGACTGTTGCACAGCTCTGGTAACATTCCTGAAGTTCAGCGTTTACTAGGTTGTAATTGGATCTACAGACATACTGTCTACACGCTTCTAAACTTCTCCAAAATCACTGGCCAGGCTCCAGGCACCATCCTTGGCGTGCTTCCTGGCACAGAGTTTCTAGCTGACACCATTACTTTAAAGGAGGGTCTTTCAAACCCCCTTCCCTTAATTTCCAGGACCAGTATTAGCCTGTCAGGGCACTTAATAAGGTTCATTATCTCTTTCTCCTGCTCTCCATCTGGTGGACTAGTTTCAGCTGTACAGTCACAAACATAGACAATGGAATCAACACATTGTACAGAGGGATTTGAATTGCAAACCCTCTTTGCTTTAGCATGAGAAGTGAACATATTCAGATAGAGCAGTCAACTCTCATGACACTGTGTCTCTTCTCAGTGCTTACAGTTACTCTTTGGGATTTGGGTATGTGTCCGGCCACGATTTCTGAGTTCCTTCTCTTCAAATACCTCTTTAGTTAAGGCTCTCTCCTTCAAATACAGAGTGTTTCTCTGACCTTTTCAGTCAGCATCTTTCAATGTCAGGAGTTTTACAGATTAAAAAATACGTTTCTCCTCACAGAAGACATCCTTTTCAGTGTTTTTCGTGGTCCTTCTCAACATCAGGTAGAGTTCATAAAAAGCGTGTTATCAGATTTTCCAAATTATCCATACCCTTCCTGTTATTTATTGGGTAAATAAGTAGGTGTATATGACATTTAAATGAGTGAAAATACAGTCTTTTTCCAAAACAACTTAAGTGACCTAAAAAAATAACATTGGGATATAAAACCACAAGCAAAAAGGTTGTAGAACAGAATATAAAGAGTAAGTCACATGACTTGTAGTTCAGCTGTATCATTATCTAATTTTTATTATTTTTTTATTGTAATCAATTTTAATGATTACATGAGTGAGTTATTTACTGAAAGGTGAGTTAAAGAATCAGTGTCTGGTGAGGTTTTTATAGGCAGAGTCCCTAATGCTCTGGTTAACAATGCTATCTCAATTTTTTTAATGTCTTTCAATTCATACAATGGCGCTTTGTTTTTTATTGCTTGTCTCACTTGTGGGAGGGCAGGGCATTTGCTTTCACATACCGCATTGTTTGAAAATAATAGTGAAAAAGCACATGAACTGTAAGGAAATCTCCTTTGAAGTCTTGAAGGCAAGCTCTGGGAAATTTTAGGGTGGATGTCAAGACAGATACATGCACTGTATGTGCAGGGGGGGATTAGTGTCACATGAGCCTACAGAGCTTTAGTGCAACACTTCATGAAGCCAGAGTGGGTTCTGGCAGTCCATATTCTAGCAGCTGATACTCAGCTGCTAAAGCTAAAGCAAAACGTGCAAAGGAAGAAAAATCAAATAGTAAGAAAACCTTCTTGGGCAAAAGGCTAATAATGAAGAAGATCCATAGCATTCTTGCTTTCCACTGGCTCTGCCAAGCTGTGGTATAAGGGACTAGAAAGATCTAATTCATAAGTTTCAGAGAAAAGCTGTTGAAAAAGTGTTATGTTCCTGCAAACCACAGTGTCTTGGAGTCCAGTTCCTGCTGCCACAAAAGTCACAGTCAGTGTCTGAATGAGATCTTGCTACATGGCTCTGATACATACTTTGAAATACCCTAATATATGGAAATATGCCCTGAAGTAGATAAAGATGCTGCTTTTGTTAGAGTACTGATTATTAATTAGCAGTTTAGTGGTCACACAGTAAATGAGTGCATATGTTTGTCATGGAGGTCCCTAGCATGGCACAAGGACCGATTACATCCTATTCATTGTTTCCAGTATTCTACTACAGAAGGTGCAAAGAGATAATAGGTCTGACTTATAAATTATTTTTGTAAAGTATGCATCTATATTTATAAGCAGTACAAGGATCTATCCTTTCCCTGCTGAGATGAGCACCTTTTATTCTCATTATGAATTTATTAGTAGTGCAGGATGTTCAGCAGTACAAAAGAATGTGCTTTTTATCAAACAGACTTCTGGTAAGTTCTCATAAGTCACTCTATCTTTGTTTTAAGGGAAAATACGGCTCTTCAGTTTAGGAATACACCTAAATGAGAAATGTTGAAAGGCAGGCACCCATGAGATATGCCACTGTCACAAGTGAAAGCTGGGGGTGGTCCAGGGGCACATGTTTGGAGAACTTTAGTGTCATTCCAAAAGAAGAGGAACTCATCACATTCACAGGTCAGCAACATTTAGACCAACAAGCTCAAGGGATGGTATATCAGCATGGACCCTTCTGGCTGGCAGTTAATTTGATGCTAAGGTGAAACTTTATTTTTTCCTCCCAAGAACATCTGGCTAGAAGGAAAGATGTATTACCTCCTGTTTTTCCTTCTGAAGGTATTTTCCTGCAGCTTAACCCCTAGCAGAGATGAATTACGTAGTTGGGTTCATATTGTCAGTTTGCCTTTGCGTTCCTCAAAAGTAGTTCAAGTAAGCTAAAAATTTAATATGTCCCTGTATTCAGGCATATCAGTAAGGAACTGCAAAAGCTTGGTGAACTTTAAAACTCAAATTACGCATAAACCTGTTTATATGTTTCTGTCAAATAAGAAAATGGAAAAGAGAAAAGAGCAGCATTTCTGTGGCCAGCATTTAAGATGCTTAGGATGCTGGAAAGAAAAAATAATGGAAGCACTTGTCATAAGCTGGAAAATAGATTTAGTGCATATGACATGACTGAGGTAAACAAACAAGATCAAACAAGAGCTGAGCAGGCTTCTGTGTAACCGAATGCCACATGAAGTGCAACTGCTGAAAGGATTCTGTGAGAGGGGAAACGAAACCGAGCAGACAAGACAGACAATGACATAGTCTAAGTTCAGTGCTTTCTGATGACACTGGAGATTGCCCTCGTTTTGGCAGCTCATTTGGTGTTTTCCCCTTCTGAAAATGAGCTGGGGAAGTGTACTGTGTTCATCTCTTGCACCTTTGGTGACAGAGTCTGCAGATTCTAGATTAAACATGTTCTTGGCAAACAACTAATGTCCAGCTCTTTGTGCACAGTGACTTACCAGAGTGGAAGTTAGGAATATTTTAGAGATGGATTGTCTGTATTTTTATGTAAAATATTTCAGGGTTGACATTTGATATTTTTCCTTCGTGATTGCTTGCTTATTTAGTGGGATAAATTTGCTTTTTCTCTTCTTTTATTCTTCTGTTTGTGTCCTGGGGTTTTTCTGTGTGATGAACTGTATGATATATTAGGCAACAAATGTAGACAGCACTAGCTGTAGAGTATTATCATCCCATTCTGATGTTCTTTATGAGTAGTAAACATAAGGAGAGGTTACTCTGCAGTATACTGAATACATGCACACATTGCAAAGTTACTAACACACTGTAATATGACATTTTATTTTTATTGTACAATAACTTTCTCATGTAAAAAAGCCCTCATTCGACTTCTTGTTGTACACAGAGGTACAGGATGATACCCTGACAGTCAGGGAAATGCAGTAAGAAGCACTGCTAACATGCAATTATTTTGGAAGGAAGTAGGCACAGGAACTATCTTGGTTTTCAGCATTTGTTCTTCTAGAATCCAACTTTTAGCCATACCAAAGCATATTCCTTGCCCACCTGCTATGGTCACAGTTCAGTCACTCAAGCTTAACTTTCTGGCATTTTTTGAACCCTGGAAGTCTGATGCCACTCTACAGTTTAAAATTATCTTTATAAGGAATATAAGATTTTCTTTTATATGTTTAGTGCTTTAAGTGGGAAGAATGATTACAGCAAAGTCTAAGACCTGCAAGGTCAGCTTGCAAGGCAAATGTGGAGAACTTATCAGGGAATTTTGTGGTCTTCTTTCTGTTTTCACATGTATAGTCTAGGGAAGAATTAATACAACGTCTATAATGTTCTCAGGATGTATCTTAATGCTTTTATAACTACTCTGTTTTATGCCAGAATACCTGCAAAACACTAAAAACTGAGTTGCAAGGATTGTTCTTTACTACTCTTTGAGTAAGGTAAGGAGCATCTGCACAAGTCATCGTAGTGTCTTTACATCAGTCAGTTTGTATTTGTTGAAAACGAAAAATATTTTTCCAGTCCTTATCTGTAGCACTGTAGTCTGTAACTGTAACACTGTAATTTTTGCAGAAGAAAGGGCCATTGATCAGGTTTAAAATATCATCATAGCAAAAAGCAGTCAAAACAAAGCCTACTGAAAACTGCCTTCCAGGAACACAGTAGGTAAAACTGGTGACACAAATCCCTCCTCTGGTACCTTTGTGCTGGATTTGCAGTTTTGCAGAATATATTCACTTGTACTTTCCTCAGCAGCACAGTCCTGTATCCTGACAGCTGAGTAATGTTCTGCTCACGTCTTCCCTTGTAAAATGAAAAAAGTAGATAATTTAATATAGATGTGACAAGTACAAGATAGATTTCTACCCAGCACAGTTCACTGCTGAAAATATATTAGGTTGAAAACCTTCTTTAAAGATAGCCAGATTCTTAAGTTCTCCCCTATCACCACCCACCTTCCCCCCTCAATTAAACACAATACAGAGAAAACTTTAAACTAAAAACTGAATTTATTCTTTGATCATTTCTGTATGAAAAAATCTTTTATGTCTGTTGTTACAGAAAATAAACTAATGTCTTTTATTTCTGCCTAAGAGCAGGTTTCGTGCACGGCATGCTAGATAAAATTTCTCAATGTTTCAAGTGCCATTTTTTTTTTTAGTCCATCACTGCTTTTCTTTTCAGTAGTTTTTACATTCTCCTGAATCACAGAAGCAGTTTACTGCTACTTCTTGTGGCCGTTGTGGTTAGGGACTAACGTAAGCTTATTGCCTTCTTAGGCAAAGCATGATAATTTCTGTCAATCCAAATTACGTTTCTGAGTATGGCAGGGTATGCAGTCTGATTTCACTGGCTTCTTAAAAGAAACACATTGAACAATTTTCATACCTACGTGTGCATTGGTAAAGGGTGACATGCTGAACACACAACATTATCGTGCTGTCCTAATGCTACAAGATTAGCCTTGTAACCTGTTCTCTGGTGTTCAACCCATTTATATTCCCCTGTACCTACCTGCTGTTACAGCCTTTCTGCTCCAGCCGTAGGGTGACTGGGTGCTCAAAGCAAGCTATGCTGCTACTCTGTTCTGTCAGCCAGCTCGGCACCTCCTTGTCTCCAAGACAACTCAGAAGTGAAGCAGAGCTCTGGCTGGTGTGGGAATTCTATGAGTCTTTGAGGGATGACGTTGTGGTGAGGTGAGGAGAGTTTAAGAAGGGATCCAGCACCATTACGGAAGCTGCATCCTTAGTAACGGCAAAATGCGATTGACTCAGGAAAGGTGGAGGTTAGCATGGGATTCAGCTCCTGCAAATCCCACTGAGCTTTTTCCAAAGTCTTTAATAGCATAAAGGATTTATTGGTATTGTTATACTTTCTTTTAAAATCAGTATTGTAAAAGATCCAAATGCTTGTGACCCATCACTAAATAGATTTTGTAGTACCTATTGCTATCTAAGATTACCCAGTAGCGGAATTTGAAAGTTTAGGACAGTGTTTTAGAGTATTGAGAATAGCCTGGTTGTTGTTTGTTTGGGTTTTTTTTTTTTAAGAGCAGACTTATCATTGACTTCAATGGGTGAAATGTTAGCCTACTGCCAGACATTAAAAAAACCCTCACATTTGCTGCCTCTAGGCATTGACCAGAATGTATCTGTATCTTTCAACCTCGAGTTTTTAATGCACAATTATCTATGTCAAAGGAGTAACTTTTTTCTGTGTGCTTGATGTGGTATGTATACACTGCATCTATCAGATTCCTCTAGCATGCTCAAATCTCCCCACACGGAGGAAGAAATACAAATTAAAAGAATGAATGAAAATTACCTCTCAATGTTTTCACAAATATCCTGCTTACAGGTGACTCAAATACACTAGTTAAAGAGAGAACTAATCTCTTTAAACTAAAAGGAATATTTTAATCTAAGAACGCTTTAACAGCATTACTAAAAAATTCATAACGATTGACTGTTTGCCCAAACTTGTAGTGCTGTACTATTGACTCTGTGTTCAGCCCTGCACAGATGGTAACTCCCATTCACTTTGATGGGAGGTTTGCCTGAGGTAGGACTGCAGAACTGATGCCTAGGATGTTAATTAGATGTACAGTCAGCTGGCCAAAAAGGGGAGGGTTGAATCATAAGGACAGATCTTCCTGGCTTACCTAAGAGTAGTTCTTAGTGTATAATTAAACCACAAAAACTGACATCAAAGTAACGATAAGGGCCTAATGTAATGCACATAACCAAGGAAATTCAGGCCAACATTCCTTCCTTTGATCGCTGACTGGGCCAAGCTAGTACAGAAGGTATGGGTCTGGATACTCCCTTTCTCAGGCACTGGTGGAGGTGAATGAGTTAAAACTGAACTGGCTAGATTGGATGAACTGGTTGGGAGGTAATAATTTTTGTTGCACATACTTGCAGAATCCCTCCACAATTATAAGATGGAACAGGGATCTTTAGTTAAAAGGAGGTTTTTCCAGGGTGTGAAGGAATAGACTCAGAGACAGCATACCTCTATAGCATGTTGATCTCCATACTTCATACCACTCCAAACTCCATGAATTTCTGTATCAGCTCAGTGGGTTTTTTTCCTTGGATGTTCTTTCTTTACACTGGGAGAAAGTCAGGGCAGGTGAAGGGATGACAACCCGTGGGTGTAAAACTACTTAGGCAGTGCTCTTTGAAGGCATGAAAGTACTAGAAGCCTAGGAACAGTGTTTTTACACCCTATCTCTTGAGGCTATAGACTTTAACTTTAGAGATGCTTTAAAACATTCTTGTTTAACATAATATTGTCTCAAACAAGCTGGAAAAACAAGATCAAGAAAAAGATCTACTATGGAGTGTTAGCAAAATGGCCTGCAAAACCAAAGTTGAAGAATAGTTACCGATGATTTACTGTAAATAGGGAAGGATGTGTCAAATGTGGTCCCACAGGGATCTGTCCTGAGCCAGATACTGTTAAATATTTTCATTAGAGATGTCAATGATAGTATAAAGAATGTTCTTATTAAATCTGTAGATGCCACATAGCTTTGAAGACTCCAGTTATGGAGGGGACCATGATTTGAGTTCCAAGGAATCTTGACAAATTAGAAAGGATGCAATTAAACACAAGTCCAGTTTCTGTGCTTGGACAAGAAGAATCATTTGTAGCATAAACTAAGTGAGAAACAACTGACTAATTTACAGTTTTAGAGGAAAGGAACTAAGGGTTGTAGTTGACTGCAGCTTGAACATAAATGGGCAATGCCTTGCAAGTTCAGAAAAAGGGGGGGAAGAGTAATTTGAGTTGTACAAACAGGACTGCTCAATGCATAATGTATTTTGTCTGGTTTACAAGCGTGGAACGGTCTAAGCTAAGTTCAGGTTTAAATCTCACATGGACCAGAACAGAGCAATATAGTGACCTATGAGAACAGATTACAAGTTTTGGGGTTGTTTAGACTAAAGAATAAAAGACAGAAAAGAAACATGATAGCAGTCTTCAAATACTTAAAAAGCTGATGTAAAGCCAAAGGGAATAACCTTGTGGACAGGACAGAATAAGTGATTCAAGTGCAACACAGAAAGTTTGGCCAGGCTTTAGGCAAAAGGGTTATTTGACAATAAAGATAGTGAAGCACAGATTGCTGTAGAACCTTTACCTTTTTCTGTCACGTTGAGGTTAGAAAAAAAAGGCCTGTTGGGAATGAGAAGGGTATAGGTCAGCACATCTTGGGGTAGGCACAAGATTTCTTCTTGAAGTTCCTTCCTATCCTGTTTTGTAATATTCTCTGATCTGTTACTAGAGGCTTTAGGAAATTGTCCAGTAGACTCATTTCTCACCCCTGGGCAAGCCCTTAGCTTTCAGTCACATTCTTGTAGCCTCTCAAGGCCTGATCCATATTCTTGAGATGCACTCTTTATTTGGCCAACTTTCTGGGTTATCTAGGAGCAGGGTGACTTCCCTCCTGAATGACACACTACACAGCTATACAGCTCACCTTCTGTATGCATTACTTAGGGATTATTACATGGTTGACTGAGCAATTGGTTATATTTTCGTTTCCTGACTAGTTGCCTCACTGGGCATCCCAGATAGCTACTTCCTGGAAACCTAACAAGCTGCGTGGTCAGAGAGATGTGACATGTTACTTCTCTCCTTCCAATAAAAACAAATGAAAATTTGTCTGTGGGTGTCCAAATTTGGGGGGGGGGGTGAGTGCTTTTTTCTTAATGAAAAAGTTTCCGTTAAAATCTCACCTAAAAACCTTTCCAAGGATGGGGGCCTGTGAGGTCTAAAATCTGTCATGAGAGTCAGGCAATTTTATAAAAAGGACTATTGAAAGTAACGTGGAAAATACAGGATTTCTTACTGGTATGTGAATAGTAGGCAACTTAGTACGGGTAGCAACTGGAAGCCAGGTAACTTCTCTGATGATACTAGAAATTAATTGTAGTTTTTCCGTTGTCCTGAGGTTGGTTTTTTGGGGTTTTGGGGTTTTTTTTAATGATGGTCTTGAAGCCTTTGTGAGCAAGTATCCAGTGAGACTGTGTGTTTTAAAAAGGCTTATTTATTACACTGAATGTCTGACCAGTCTGATGTTGTCTTGAGTGCATGGAAGGCTGCTGACTTTTCCTATGTGCAAGTAACAACTGCATGTTTTTAGTGGGAATGACCTTCATTCTAGGTTAATGGCAACAAAAAAAAAAGTATGTTTGTCCTCAACACCAGTCTTCAACAAATTAAGTAAAAATTACTTCCTGCTCTCAGACATCATTAAAGATTTAAAGGTACACCACCTATTAAGTAACGGGTTAAGCCTAAATTCAGGTAAGATCATAGTAAAACAGTAAACACCAGAAGAATGAAACGGATGGTGCTTATCATTGGACCATATACCAGGTCTATCAAGCAGGAGACACATTAACTGGATGCAACGAGATAATTTTATTTCTCTATTTGATTTTAAAATAACACTACAATTCAGTTTCAGACAGTAGGAGGCAGTGAAAAGTGCTTCAGTGCTTCTGTGTAACCTGCTTGAAGTTCTTAGGTAAAGACATTCTTGTCTAGAACAAATCATTTTCCTCCTGAGAGACTCTCTTGTGCTAATAAGAAAAACAAGGGGAAACAGATTGCAAGGTCTTAATAGGCTTTTTTTTCAGTAGGTTCCATGCCAAATTCTATCCTCGCATGAGTTCTTGAAACCTCACTGATTTCACAGGGACCTCATGGCTGTAAAATAATAGATTTTTTGGTCTTAAGGTCTAAAAAGCTTCCTTCTGTATAAAGTGCTTTACACATGGAATGGCTGCTGAAGCAAATTGACTAGAATGGTAGTCAATTTTACTCTGCTGCCCTCCCACCTGAAAAGCACTTTCGGTGCCCTACAGAGAAAAGAAATGAAAGAGGAGGGCTAGAAACATGTGCATGCACACACATACAGAGACAAGAAATGCTTGAGAAGAAGTTTTTAAAAAGGAAGAGAAAATGAAATAGTACTGTATGCTGTCTGTCCTACATATTTGTCGTGCTGGATGGGGAGAGGTGTTTCTACAGGATGGAACATATCCAGTGAATGCACATTGAGCTAAATTCAGTTCTTATCTGCACTAGGACATTAGCTTCAAATAGCTTTGCTTAAGGGCCAGAATATTCCCACGTTACATCTAGGGAAAATTAAGATTTCAGGTTCAAATCAGTTTAAAAAAAGTTGCATACCTACTTAGTGTCTTCCTATATTGTAGTTTTTAGGGCAGATTTTGTACTGATGTTAATCCAGCATATCTCTGCTAGGTATGTTATAGCCATACCAGTTTTACAACAGCTCAATTTCTTGCCCCATATCATCAACCTGATCTACAAGCTTTAATAAATATTGACCAGATGTCTTTAGTTAAAAGTGAAATTATGTCTTCAGTAAAGGAGGAGCCTGACAGCTCTAGCCAGCAGTATTCATGAAGCGCAGTCTGTGAAAGTCTATTCTAGAAAATAATCTTCAGCATGTTTGGTAAAACAGAAGTGCTGCTAATGCAGCAGTTACATTAGCAGTGTGAGAATAGGAGCAATGGGAGAACATGCCAGGAAAATATGTTGATTATGCAAGGTCTCTATCTTTTGCAATAAGAATGGTGTAGAGATATGACATAAGATTGAACAGCTGTT